CCCTCCTCCCCCCTCTCATGCTCTCTCTCTCTCTCCTTCTCTCTCTCAAATAAATAAATAAAATCTTTTTTAAAAAAAAAGAAAAGAAAAGCATTATAGAATAATGACTAAGAGCAGAGGCTCTGGAGGTAGACAAACCTGGTTCTGATCCTCCTTGTGCCACTCACTAGCTAGAAGACTGAACATTCACTCTCCCTCAGCCTCAGTTTTCTCATCTGTAAATTAACAATAACTGCTAGTGATGTTGGAAGATTAAGAAGATAATGCATGTAAAAGCTTGCAGGACACCTGACACAAATGAAGTGCTAGGTAAATGGTAATTACTATTACCACTACATTTGGCTCAGGATAACATACTTGAAATTGACAGTCTACAGTTTTCCCAGCAACAGCTAGGAAATCCACCAAGGGCTGAAATAAATCTCTCATGTCATAATTTTAGAGAAGTTCTGTCCTTGAAAAGTCAAATGAGAACTTCAGTTCAGTAAACGGAATTGAGATTACACTTTGCTACTCAGAATGATGGTCCAAGGGGGAAAGATGAGCATCAGTCTGGGTTCCTCCCCCGCCCCCAATTCCAAAGTGGGTGAATGGCGTAGGCTCAACTACAGGGCCCACTCGACCTATGCAATCCCAAATTCTCACTGAAGCCCAAGACCAGCATTAGTATTAGTCCCGCAACAAAGAGAAAAATAAAAGGTTCCTCTAAACACCTAGATGACGAAGTTTCCCCACTCTGATTCCCACTGCATTCCATTCCACTCTTCCTGACCGCAAAACCAAACAAAAATATACGAAGCAAAAAAAAATTAGAGCTGTTTCTGGAGGGCAGTCAGGATTACAACAGTTTTTAAGAGTTAGGGCTAGGTAGTCAGGGGCCCAAGGTAAGGTGCTTTGGTTCTCTGCCAAGATGGACATCAGCCTAGATCAATAGCGGCAGCTGCGACATGAAGATCTCTGTATACACTCCCATTCTCTCACACAAACACGGACAGACACACTCCACGGCAATCACCGCCCACATCCCACACTGAGAAAACAGCTTACAGCCTTTTGGGTGGTCACAGCCATCCTGCCCTCTACTTCTTACCGACGCCCTTTTCACCCCCACACAATGATCGCCTAGTACTTTCCCAGCGGAAACGTTGAAAAACGATAATAATTCCAGTCACGCAACATTTTACGCTCGCTGTTGCCAGGGCAGAAACCGACCGGCTCGGCTAGACTCTTCCAGGGAGGACCGCGGACGGAAGCGACAGGCTGGCCCTGGCTCCCGGAGCAGAGTTCGCCCACACAAGTCTCCGCAAGTGCGCGAAGGAGCAAGAACCCCCGGCCGGCACCGGCACGTTCTCAGCTGCCACTCACCCCAGTCCTCATCGGCTCGGTGAGAGAGGCCCGGGCTAAGAGGGGACTCCATGGTGCCGGCAACGCCAGCCGGCGCCCGCAAGCCCCACGCTCCGGCGGCCTGGAACTCGGTGACTAATAACCCGGACGGCGGCGGCAGGAGGACAAAATACTCCCTACCGCCCCGCGGACGGTGGCCGAGTGAAGACAAAGTGCTTCCACTGCCCGGGGAACTTGAGCAAATCAGCAAAGAGGAGCGTCGGAGACTGAGCTCGTTTAAACAAATCGGCGAGTACCTATTTCCCTGTGGGACTTTTCGGCACTTTCTGTCCCGCTGCTTTAAGGAAAAAAAAGAAAAGAAATACACATAAACACTACTTTGGCTAAGTAAAATGTACTGATAATATTTTTTAAAAAGGAAAAAGGAAAGAAAAGAAAAGTAAAAGCCCTCCCGAACCTACTGGCTTGTTCCCTGAATATCTTTAATACCACAGCGTAACTATCTCAGAGCAAAATCAGAGACCAATAAAGTAAATTCGATTTAATTTTCAGAATCACTTGCTATCAATGTAAAACTCTTCCCGTAGACACAAGTGTGGGAAAGAAAAACTCAACTATTGTTCCACGTTCGTTAGACCCACGTCTTCGCAGGCACCGTACCTGAGGTAAACACCAGTACTGTGAACCGTACTTCTAGAAAGCCTACTTTTATTTAAACAAATTTAAACAAGGCAAATATAAGAAATGAACTCCCCGTGCTGAAACGTATCTCCTACGTAATGCGTTTCTAAATCGTAGCACTTCGTAGTGGAAATCCCAGCGAGTTTACCCTATACAAACCTACAATAAATTCCCAATCTTTTTATTGCTAAAATGTAAGATTCCGTTTTGTTTAGAAGAAATTCACATCACGAACTCCAACTGAAAATCTGAACTGAGTTTGATAGAACAGTTTCAAGACCGCTGCTTAATAGAATTTCTTTTTACGGCATTTCAGCGGCGAGGGTGTCAAATCCCCTAAGAACACGTATCCCTTTAGGACCAAGTGGAATCTTTTCCATGGTTACTAAACCAAACAAATGCTTCCCAGAATCCACCCAACTCCTCGTGGCTGGAGGGTTACTACAGATTGCATAATCCACAGTATTCAATACAGCTCTGGACCCCAAACCAGAAGAAAAAACAAAACAAAACACGACATGGTTCCTTTTGTCATCAGATAACTAACCAGTTTTCATGTACGGTGAAATATATATCACCTCTATTCTTATTCAACTGCAAATTCAAAACTGACAAACTCAAATAAAACCAGCAAGTCTTCTATTCCGCATCCACGAGATACTTTTTTTTTAATCACCATGACTGAACTCTTGCCAGTTTTTATTTTTTTAATTTTTGAAATTTTTATTTTTATCCCCAAAGTGCAGATAATGAAAAAAGCATTTGCATACCTATCACCAAAGATTAACAAATATTAACATTTTCCATTTTTGTTTCAGATTTTTCATAATATAAGAAATTAAACATTACAGGTAAAACCGAAGTCTGCTTTTCCCTCTGCTTCATTTCCCTCCCTCCACATAGACTTCTATTACATACATCTAGTGTTGCGTTTTTAAATTTACATAAACATGTCATACTCGTTCTCCAAATCACTTTTATTTTTTTTTCAAATCACTTTTTTTCTTATTCAACATTACTTTTTGAGGATCTACTCATGCTTTAACTGTTACATGGTATTTCCTTGAAAATACATATATATATATATTTACATATATATCTTACAATTTATTTCCCTACTAATGGACATTTGGATTATTTCAAATTTTTACTGTTAATAGCCTTGTATGAGTCTCTGTGCATATAAGCAAGAATGTCTTTAAGATATATAGTGGGTCATAGAGTAGGAATGTTAAATTTGCCAAATTATACCATTTTACATCCTTGCTAGCAGTGATGAGTTCTTTGCTCCACATTCTCACCAACACTAGATTTGGTCACTCTTACATTTTTTGCCCCTGTGAAGGGTATGACCATAATTTACATTTCCCTGACAATTAAAGAGATGGTGCATCTTTTCGTGTTTATTAAACCTTACTTACTCTTCTGTGAATTGCCTATTCTTACAAAATTTGCCATTGCATTTTCTTTCTCTCAATGACACCTACATCTTTAGCTAGACTACTCTATTCATTTAACAGATACATATGTTGCAAATACCTTCTCCCAAATTGCAATTGTCTTTTGTTTATGGGGTTTTGTCTTTTAGGTTTTAATTTCAATGTAGTCAAATTTACCAATCTCCTGTTTATGATCTGTGCTATTTGTAACTTGCTTAAGAAATCCTTCCCTCTCCTGAGGTCATAGAGATTTTCTTTTTTATTTTCCTTCCATATTTTTATAGAGCTGCTTTTCACATTCTTCCCCCCACCAATCTGGTTATTGCTGGGGTGTAGTAACACTATTGATTTTTATACAGCAATCTTGTATCCAAAAACCTTGCTGAATTCTGTGACTGTAATATTTTGTCTGAATTCTCTAGGATTTTCTACGTAGAAAAACTTGCATGCAAACACTAACATTTTAAAATTTATTTTAACATTGTAACCTTTTTAAAATTAACCTTTAATGTGGAAAATTTCAAACAAACACAAAAGAGAAGCTAATCGATCCTCTTGTCTTAGCACCCGACTTCAACAATTTGCCATTCTTGTTTTATCTACCCACTCTCCCACAACAATTTTATTTTTTGTTTTGGTTTGTTTTTTTCCCCTGGAGTGTTTTTAAAAAAAATTTTTTTTAAAGATTTTATTTATTTACTTATCGAGAGAGAGAGAGAGAGAGAGCATAAGCAGGGGGAGGGGCAGAGGGAGAGGGAGAGAGAATCTCCAGCACACACTGCACTGAGGGTGGAGCCTGACGCAGGGTTGGATCCCATGACCCTGAGATCATGACCTGAGCTGAAATCAAGAGTCAGACACTTAACCGACTGAGCCACCTAGGCACCCCATCCCTTGTTTTAAAGCAAATCCCAGATATCATGTTATTTCAATACTTCAATATGTATCCTGACAAAGCTTTTTTCAATTTTTAAAAAAAACTTAACTACAATACTATTATGATACCCACCAACAATAATTCCTTAATATCATCTAATACCCATTCCACATTCAATTTTCTCCCCAAAATGCCTTTCTACAGTTGGTTTGCTCAAATCAGGATCATCGGGTTGCATTTGGTTCATGGGACAGTCCCCTCTTCCACGTGTCACCCCATGCTGTTTGTTAAAGAATCTGTCGTTTGTCCTGTAGAATTTCCCACTTTGTGATTCTGCTGTTTGTGTCTTCATGGTGATTTGTTCCTGTAAACTGCCAGTTAGATGTAAACTTGATTAGATGGTTTTTGTTTCATTTGTTTTTGCAGGAATACTTCTTAGGAACTTCTTTGCATCATACAAGGAGGCACATAATTTCTAAATACCCCACTTTTATAGATGTCGAGATTTATCAGTGAATTCTGTTTTTTTCCTAAGGCTTAAACCTTTTCCCCTTCTTATTTTATTGCAATAGCCAGGACCTCTAGTGCCACACTGAAGGTAGATGCGTGAGTATACATCTTTTAACTTGTTCCCAACTTTGAAAGTTTTAAAAAGTTACTATTGATAAGGTTTTCCTGTAGTTTTTTAATGCAAGGAAAATTTCATTTTTCATCAAGAAATTTGCTGTGGTTATTATAGTTTTTATGCACACTCTGGTCATATACTCCTTCCATTCTAGTTACTGTGCTTTTTTTTTTTTTAATGATAAATGTCAAATGTTAATGAATCTTCTTTAATTTATTCATTTGCTTTCAACTTAAACCCTTGGAAGAGAAATGAAATTGGAGAGAGAGTTTTGCCTGGAGACCTAAAGGAGGGCCTTGCCTAGATCCACACTTCAGAGGACTCTACTCTGGCATCTGGCAGTGTCTCTTCCCACAGGGTGAGAATCCATGGTGCCAAGGGGATATGCCCAACCAGAAGACATGCCTCTTCTAGACATGCTTCTCATGCCCAAATAGCTCCATGCCTGCTTCTAAAGCTTGCTCGGGCCTCCTACTTCCTAAGGGTGAACTGTGCCAATGCTGTATGCCAGGAGCATAGACTAAGCTTAGAAATGCGAGGTGGGAAGTTCACGTATACATATGCACCAGGCGTAAGAACAAACCCAGGGGTGAGGAAAGGGGCCAACTCTGTAGGTTGCTCTGTAGGTCGGGGGCCAACTGTCCCTGCATTGCCATGTTTTGTCAGGGAACTCCATAAAGTCAGAGAATTTTAAACTCAAACCTTGTCTCCCAGGTCTTTATGAAAGGTATTTTTATCAAAAAAAGAGAATAACACATTTTATTTAATAGTTTGGTAGCTTGATTTATAAATTTCAAACACTAAGACAAATAGTATCTGGGCCTCAATTTGCACTCACAGAATTCTGCAAGTGTTGGTGGGGTACCTGACCAGTGAATTTACAACTTGGTTAAAAATTGCATTTCATCAGTGCTATTATATTTTACAATCTAACATTTGCAGTATGACATCTTCTCTATCACCCTAAACAGTGAACTCAAACACTAGAATACAGAATTAAAAGCTCAGATTTTGGAATAAGCCAAATCTTGATTCTAATCTAGGTTCAACCATTTGCTAGCAATATAACGTTGATGAAGTGACTTAATCTTTCTACGCCTCAGTTTCACCTGTAAAATGGGAATCTATCTCATAGGATTTGGGGGAGTATTAAATTATATAGTACACATTAAATGCTTAGCATAGTGACTAGCACATGGTAAATTCTCAATAAATTGCAGCTATTTTAAGGAAGAGTGTTGAATGCTGCTGGTTAGTTTCCGTACCTGCATCGTATCACTAAAATCCCCACAACCACCCGGATTGGATACAATTATTATCTCCCTTTTATACAAGGAATTGAGGCTTATGCAAATGACCTTTAAAACAACCCTATTGGGGTGCCTGGGTGGCTCAGTTGGTTAAGCGACTGCCTTCGGCTCAGGTCATGATCCTGGAGTACCGGGATCGAAGTCCCGCGTCGGGCTCCCTGCTCAGCAGGGAGTCTGCTTCTCCCTCTGACCCTCCCCACTCTCATGCTCTCTCTCTCTATCTCATTCTCTCTCAAATAAATAAATAAAATCTTTTAAAAAAAATAAAACAACCCTATTAGGAGGGC